TATAAAATAGAAAATCTATAAAAATAATGTTATTATTTTAAAAGCCAACTGAAAAAACAAATTTAATATAGTACCTAACCATTAATTTTAAAATTTAGATTTTTAACTTTAAGCAAATGTCTACATTATAAAAATACTAAACCTTGATTTACCTTTAAAAGTAATAAAATTCTTTTTATAAATATATTTTTTACTCCCACATTTAAAACGCTAATAATTATTATTATTAATAATTATTATTGTCCATGTTTCCATGCATGCATGCGTCATGACACTAAGTGTGGAGCAATCATAAAAAAGCAGATAAATCCGTTTTAAGCAGTTTCGAGTTATCAGCGAAAAACTAATATTTTTCGTTCTGCAACATTTACACAAGGAACAACCGATGTATTCTATAGAGTATAGTGTTATGAGACCAGAAAACTCATTTTTTATTTTTTGTCCACCTGCATCATGTGTTACAGTAAAAAAAACATTTATCTAGTGTTGTTTGAATTGACAGGATTTATCTCCATTTGCTTGAAATGGAAATAAAAATACAGTTTTATCCATTGACCTATACAGGGTGGTCCAGGATTAATCTGGAAAATGTTAATGCCATTTAAGTTAATTAAAAAAAAACAATTATGTAAATTTATCTTATTGTTGCTTGATTTGCTAGGTTTCGAGGCCGGTATTCTATATCAATTACTTGGTTTGACTTAAATCTGAGTTCACCAATAAATTAATCTTACCTCATTTACTGTTAGTTCATACCTAACTCATTTTTCACAAACAAAACTGGATTTATCTGCTGTTGTTTGATTGCTCCACAAGTGACCTTTTAAATACACTTTTAGAATTTGTGGCTTTATGGCCTTTTAGTCACGGGCTAAAGTAAGCAACATGTTTTTAGTCACGGGGCTGAAGTTAGTTTTAAGTTAGTTGACAGGTGTCAAATGTCATACAATCGTTAAAATAAAGTGCCCTACTTGTAAAATAATAATGTAAAAATTATTTTGTTATCTTAACACAAAAATAAAAACGCCAATACCTATTTAAAAAGTTTATATGCAAGTTTGTACATTTTGCAGGCAGTAAACTAAATTTAACTAGCATTGAAAATTTCGGGTGAAGACTCCACTGTGAAGTGAACATAAAACATTCTCTTCACTTTTACTGTAAAACACTGCTTCTATATCATCATTTAACAGGTTGTTAGTCCATTTTTAAGGAATAAATTCGATTTACACACAAAATTTATAGATTTTGACTGGCGCGCCGGTAATACAGATTCCCAAGTTAAAAATTGTTACGCAAGTTACTCTATTTTTGTGTAGATGTTGCTTTATACAAATATTAATTTAAATCATTTTTAGATTATAATAAGTATGTGTCGTGAAAAAATTATAGTACTTGTTTATAAACTCGCAAGCTCGCTAAATTAAATTCGTGATCAAAGTGGCGTTTATCAAACTTAATATCTTAAACACTTACTTTAGAAGTTAATAAAAATTTTTTAAGTTACTTAATCCGGCGTTCCTATTGAGAAACTCTTTACTTAAAAAGATGTATAGTACACAGAAAAAACGCTAGCATAGCATAAATGGGTGAGCCATTAAACCAATAACAGTTCCTATAATACCAATAGGTAGTTAGCACTTGGTTTATAATCGTTTACTGTTTTTAAATTAACAATAAAAGTTATCGCTCCTAAATCTATTGATATTCATATTGGTATTTATTTGTTAGAATGTTAGAATGTTATTACATTAAATACTTGTATGTTAGGGTGGAGCGAATAAAAATATTTTTTTTTTCCTTAGCCTGGGGGTGGAATTTGTAGCCTATAAAAAAAGAAAATTTTTGAAAAAAAGGTGGCCCACTGATTTTTTAAATTAAATTTAAGTTAAAGGTGGCCCACTGATTTTTTAAATTAAATTTAAGTTAAAATTCTTTTGAATAATTTTTTTTTTCAAAAGTGTTCCGGAAACTGCGGAGTGTCCTCTTTCTTGCTAATTAACAGTTATGAACTTAAAAATTTTGTTGTGGTCATTATTGTTGTTTTTAAAAAAATTCCAAAATAGTAACATGCTTTTCTGAGGCAATAGAGCGAATTTCGAGTTGAACCCGATCAAATTTGTTTATTTTTATATAAATTTGAAGATTACAAGCCAAAAAATTTTTTTTTATTCAAAAGAATTTTAACTTAAATTTAATTTAAAAAATCAGTGGGCCACCTCAAGACGTCAAAAATTTTCTTTTTTATAGGCTACAAATTCCACCCCCACGCTAAGGAAAAAAAAAATATTTTTTTTCACTCCACCCTATTGTATGTATACTATGTATACATTTAACGCAATTAGATTGCTTCAATTACAGCAATTAGATTGCTTCAATGACAGCGCTGTTCTTGGTACTATGTTAGATTTTTTTCTGTGTATAAAAAACCACAGGATGTTCCATTAAAAATAGGAAAGTTGGTTCGTCCCAGTGAAAACCAAATACCCTGTATAAATATAAATAAATTTTTATAGCATTTTTACATTAAAAAAATGTGTATGTCCCTTATAATTTTTTGTGTCAAAATGTCGGCTTGATAGAAAGAAAAAACTAAATTTCCATTATATTTTAAACCTATTTTGAATATTTTCTCATTTTATAATAAATGTCTGGACAAAATGCTGTTTTCCTTGCCTTGGCAGGAAAAATGGGTTATTCATCGTACCCCTTTTTCGAATCGCAGCAGCGGACGGAAAGAAGCAGGAAATGCGCCGGCTTGATATTCACGTACTTTATGAAGAAGCGAAAAGCAGGAACTCGCCTTGCTCTTCCTTCTTGAGAAGACCGCCGGCCCGGCAGGATATGTGCGAGAGAGATTAGAGAGGGCCCTCCTGCTGCAAGGCAAACTAGCTCCATTCAAAATGACCGAGGGTAGGAAATGGACCATTCAATAGTAAAATAATTTTTTACTACGTCCCATAAAAATATTTTTCTAAGAGACAAACACATTTTGAAGCCCTCGTGGATTGCCAACGGCCATTCAATCAAGCCCTATTTTCAAACAAATTACCAAACTAAATTCTAAAATCACAAAAATATTATTTTTAACTTGGTTATATATTTTTAAATCATTTACTTTATTTTAACAAAAAAGTCGATGGGCGCCCATATAAAATTTTCCAGGGGGCAACGTTAATTCCAAAAATGATCTTTTTGCTTAATCACTACTTATTTTTGCGATATTGTGAATGACCATGGTTAAAGTATATTATTTAAAAAAATATGTTTGCATTTAGAAAAAATAAGTGGTTGCCATTTAATTGTGTATTTTTATTTTCCTCTTAAAGCTAGGTCATGCTTTCCCAAAACAAAATGGTAAAATAATTAAATGTACCTTTGGATCGGTTATCTTCAATTAGGTTTTTTTTCTTGAATATCTGTTAAAAAAATGTAGGCATAAAATATGTAATGTAATTTTTAAAAAGTGGATTTTATTATTATTATTATTTATTTATTAATTCAGTTTGACACTGGGGTACAGATATTAATAAATTCAGTTATAGTGGAAGACCAGTAGTGGTTACTAGTAATAGTACTTTTTGTCAATATTCTCATTAAAAAGAACCATTTAAAATTAAATATTATAAAGTTATTATAAAACTAAGGTACCAATATATTTTGCAGATAAGTTTGGGTTGGGTTGGAACATTCCAGGGGTGGCAAGTGCCCCCCTGCCCATAGATATGGGCACCCATAATGGGACAAAATATGCATTTATAAATAAAAATATGCACAAATGTTTTTTTAAAATCAAAAATAATTAATTATTTTTAATTTTTCTAAAAAGGCTTAAAAGTTAAAAAAATAAGTAGTTAATGTAAAATAAGAACAAGCCGTTTTGAGATTTTGCTAGAATGTTTTATTTTATTTTATTTAAAAAGTTTAAAATAAATATTAATTATATTTAATTAATATCATATGCGTAGAACGTATTTTTTTAATAATTGCACCACCAGGGTAAAGTGTTTAAATGTAAAATTTAGATTGTCCAAATTATTAACTACAAAAAAGGTATCTTCTCCTAATAAAACTTAATTACTCTGATAGTTTATGCAAAATTTCTATCATAATAATTTTACGTTACCAAAACTTAGTTCATAATTCCACCAGATGTTTTTTTTTAATGAAATAAGACATTTTTATTCGTTTTGGTGCATTAAAAATTTGTGTCGATAAAGCAACGCTTTTAATTTTTAAAATTTTTAAAATATTTCAAATTTTGAAATTTGGTGAATTTTTAAGCTCTTTTCTTTAGACTTTCGCTGCATTAAACATACTGTTTATATTTTCTGTTGGTGTATATTTTGTTCCCATACCTTTTTAAATAATTTTTTATTTGTAGTGGACTTAATTCGTTTTCACAACTAATTTTCAGACTTTAAATAACACTGCATATAGAACTGTCGCCGCCACTGTCAAAAGCGAAAAGCGTTACTATAGAAACCAATTATTAAACAATTCGCAATGTCGCTTTAAATTCTATTTTTTACGTTTTGTTTCATTTACGTTCTTGTGTTACAATATGTAGCTATTTAGTGCTTTTTGTATTAAAATAAAAAAATATTATAAAATCAGTTTTTTTGTAACATAATAATAAATTTTGTTTTGGAGAGTTGTTAGGTACCTATCGCTATTAATGCATTATGTAGTGTACTTATTAAAAAATAAATTTTGGAGAAACCATTGAACTGTTTGAGTTTTATCAAAAGTAAACATCATGGCTGCATAGCACACAAATAATGTTTATTCATGAAATATCTGGTACTTGCTTTTTAACAAATCACCTGTATATTCTACAATATAGTTAATAAACAGTAAATTCATTTTTCCATTAGGTAAAATGTAAAATAATGTGTTGGTAAATTCAATCCTAAAATGAGGCAAATACATCCCCTAGTGTAGTCCGATAAAATTACAAAGATTCTTATTTAATAAAAAAACGTATAAATTTAACTTACTTGCATGGTTTGAAAAAGGGCAGAAATGCAGGGATGATTCAGCTTGGCCATGATCGTAGCCTCCCTATAAAGATTTTTAATGACGTATTCCTCCTTTATTTTGTCCATATCCATTATTTTAACGGCCACCTGAAACGTAAACCTAAACGTCAAAAGGCGAATTTCGTTTTCCTTTAAATTAAAGTGGAAAGTTGTGTCACATATCTTTTATGAAATTCAAATTTAAAACGAACAACGATAGCCAGAGAGGCATAAAGTTTACGCTTTGCAGTCGATCTAACGGACAGTTTAAAACATTGTCTGGTGAAGGGTAAGAGCAAATTGCAAGGCATCAATTTGCTGGACGAAACATGACTGCCTTATTTTATCTGTCGCATTAACCTTGTTGATTTTTTGACAAGGTATTTCCGAACCATCAATCCCGTAAATAATTTGTGTTGCGAAATAAACAGTCGTTTATTTTGCATTATTGTCATACATATTTTACATCTCTGTATTAAATTTGGATTAAAATAAATTGAATAAAAAACATTTTAAAAATTTTAAGCATCTTTTTAACTTAAATAAATTATTTTACTTTAAGGAATATGTGATAGATTTTTTACAGACCCTGTATTTTTTAATTATAAATTTTCGTTTAGTTTAGCTGGTTTTACTAAAAATCCTTGCGAGTGAGTGCTTAATTAAATGAGTTGCATACTATACTTTTTCTACGACTAATACTAAATATTATCTAAAAAATGATTTAAATTAAATATTTGTATAAAGCTAAAATAAAGTAATCATCCGAATAAACATTTTTGACGTAATTTTTACAATTAACATTGTCCGTTATTATTTTAATTAAACTTAACAATTATTTATACTTTAAAATATTAAAATAACTTCAAAATATGATTAGGTTAAGAAATTATAGATTGCTAATAACTATAATTGCAAAATATTATGACAAAGTATTAAAAATGTTTACACGGGAAATGTTAAAGGTACAAAAAGTATTTTTTGGAATTTTTTTAGAGTTTCTAACTTGGGAATCTACTGGCGTTAAAATCTGAAATTTGGCTGTGTAAATTAAAATTAATCTCTTGAAAATAGACTAACAATCGATATAGAAGAGAAGAGAATGTTTTATGGGCACTGTACGCAAAATTGTTAACGCTTTGTTAGTTAAATCTAGTTAACTGCACACAGAGCTGTTCCGAGTACAACAAACAAGTACTTGAGCAAAAGTACTTAAAAAAAATGTAGGTACTTGAGTACAAAGTACAAAAAAAATCAAAAAGCACTCATGAGTACAAGTACAAAGTACTTTTTCAAAAAAAATTTAAAATGTAAATGTAGGTTTCAGTATCTACAAAAAAAAATTAGGTTTAGGTCACTTAAAAGTAGTGGGTCTTATAACAATATTTTTAATTTATAAAATTAGTAAAAATAAAATACTTACTTTTACACATAAAAAATATTTATTTTAAAAACTAATTAGCTAATATTAAAAAAATCAAATACACGTGTATGTAGGTAAATAATTTTATTTCATATTTAAAAAACCAAACAATGAAAAATATTTATTTAAAAAACTGATTAGCTCTAAAAAATAATATATTTAAAAAACTTAAAACAACCAATCGGCTTGTAGAAATACCATTTTATATATACTTAAAATTTAAAATAAATAAACAAGTTCTGCGCAAACAAAATTTAAATTGAAGTTTTCGAAAAAAGTTTAAGTATTTAAAAAAAAATATTACAGATTTTTTTTTCTTTTACTAAAATAAAAAAAAATTAAAATCGTATAAGATCTGTAATACTTATTTTTTTTTAAATAATGAAATGTAACGATAAAGTAAATAACAAATTGGAGCACCTAAATTTAAATTATCCTTATTGGGGAAGAGGAAAAAATACTTACTTTTTTTTAAAAATTTAAATTCTGCTTATGCAGAACTTATTTTTTTAATGTCATAATAAACTTATATAAATTTGGTTGGGACAATGTCCATGTCGAGGATTTATTACGAATATTGCCGAACCGCTAAAGAATTATAATTATGGCGCTAAATTTGAATATATAGTGCTACTACAGTAATGGTTATGTTAACTTAACAAAAAGATGCCGAGTACAAAAAGTACTCGAGTACAGCAAAAGTACTGGAGTACAACAAAAGTACTCGTGTCCATTTTTACATTTTTAAATGAAATAAGTACAAGTAAAAGTACTTTTTTTTTTAAATCTACTCTGGACTGAGTACTGAGTACATAAAAAGTACTTACAGTACAGAATTTGAGTACAAGTACTCGAGTATCGCACAGCTCTGCACAACTGCGGCAAAATCAAAAGGTCAGTACAAACGTTCGTATAATCTTTTTAAATATTGGTGTCAAGAAACTATTTAATACTTTTGTATTTTTATATTGAAATAAAATAATTTACACATTTAGTATAATTTTACAAGAATGGCACTATATTTTAACGGTTGTATAAAATTTGACAACTATCAACTATCTTAAAACTAACTTGAGCACGTGAATAAAGCGCCATAAAGCCACAACTTGTCAATGTGTATTTAAATGGTCACTTAGTGTAATGGAAACATGAACGATAATGGGCGTTTTAAAGGTGGGAAGAAAAAAAGTATTTAATGACAAAGTGCGCACGCCCAGCACCAAAAGTGTGTTCAAAATTACAGCTTAGTCGGTTGGGAAGTCTGTTAAAATCGACCTAGATTCGTTGTTATAGTTACAGGTGAGCCTAATCTAATTTTGAAATAAAAAAAACATGTAATTTTTTTCGTATATTCCAGGCAAATTTAAATTTTAATTAAAAATTTTAAGTGAAATGATATATTTGTATATGGGGCAAAATTTGCCAAGTGTACCAGGTGAAAACATTTTTGTCACCGATTTTGTTTAAACTTTATTTATTTATTGTTCTTATAACGAAGAATCATAGCATACAATTTTTTTGCTCTAGGATTGTTCATTCAAGAGTTATGGATTATTGAAATTTATCGATTTATTACTTTTTGGTGAAATCGCTTTTTATTTAAAAATTCATAACTTCTGTTCATCTCTTTATTAAATATTTCAATTTAACCACCTTAAATGATTTTTTCCGTACTTTTCAATGGGCTATACCGTTTTTGCAACAAAAAAAAATTGCAATTTTTTTTGTAGTTTTGCAAAATTTTGCATTTTTTGAAACAATGTGTATTTTTTAATTTTTTTTAAAATAGCATAAAATCGAAGTTTATTATGTTACCTTTGAATAAAAAAAAAATTAGAGTGGGCCCGACATGTAGAAGGGAAGTTTTTCATATTTGAATGCCGCACGGTCTATAGCCATCGAATAACTACTACACTGCCGTATGCGTTTATACCTAGTAGATGCGAGTAAACGAATACAAAATGATAATTTAAAATGTAAAATTATGTTTGAGTAGTCAATAATGTATTTTAAATATTTACACTGCCGCGCGATATAGTTTTTTTATTGTGTATTAGTCCTTCGGAGGGGACTTAAGCCCGCGGTCCGTTCCTACACCTAACCCGTACAAGCCATTCAGTTGGCTTATGGGACTTCTTAAGAAGTAAGGGTGGAACTAAAAGAGCACTTTTGTATATAAACTGTATTTTTTTGCACAAATTGTTTAAGCATGGATCTACATAGATTTCGCAAGGAGGGTCGATGATATTAAATAAAAAATTTATTGTTATAACTGTAACGGCTTGCCTATAAGCTGAATATATATAGGCGCCATTCAGCTTATAGGCAAACCGTTACGGTTATAACAATAATTTTTTTATTTAATATCATCGATCCTCCGCGAAATCTATGTAGACACATGCTTAAACAATTTGTGCAAAGCAAAAAAATACAGTTAAAAAACTATATCGTGCGGCAGTGTAAATATTTAAAATATATCATTGACTACTCAAACATAATTTTACATTTTAAATTATCATTTTGTATTCATTTACTAGCATCTACTAGGTATAAACGCATACGGCAGTGTAGTAGCTATTCGATGGCTAGACCCGCACGCATTCAAATATGAAAAACTTCCCTTCTACATGTCGGGCCCACTCTAAATTTTTTTTTATTCAAAGGTAACATAATAAACTTTGATTTTATGCTATTTAAAAAAAAAATTAAAAATACACATTGTCTCAAAAAATGCAAAATTTTGCAAAATTTCAAAAAAAAATTGCAATTTTTTTTTGTTGCAAAAACGGTATAGCCCATTGAAAAGTACGGACAAAATCATTTAAGGTGGTTAAATTGAAATATTTAATAAAGAGATGAACTGAAGTTATGAATTTTTAAATAAAAAGCGATTTCACCAAAAAGTAAAAAATCGATAAATTTCAATAATCCATAACTCTTGAATAAACAATCCTAGAGCAAAAAAATTGTATGCTATGATTCTTCGTTATAAGAACAACAAATAAGGAAAGTTTAAACAAAATCGTTGACAAAATTTTTTTCACCTGGTACACTTGGCAAATTTTGCCCCATATACGAAATGGTTGACACGACTTTTGTATTTAAATAAAAAAAGAGATTTTTAGGATTTATAATTTAAGCATAAAGGGACCAAATGTCCTTTTTGGACGCTTCTCAAAAATTCATTATTGTCGCATTCATCTTGTATTCGATTGTATGACGGAAGGTATTTCCAAGTCATCAATTCCGTAAATAATCTTCTACAGCGAAATAAACGCACGTCCCTTATACATCAGTCCTTCGAATTTGATTCGGATCAAATGAATGAGCGGAAAAAAGACGGCCGAAAATTCAATCGAATTAGTCAAACGCTTTTTAAACTGGCCGTAAATTTTTCAAGCGACAGTAATTGCTGTGTATAAGCAGTTAAAGTGCAATATAAAATAAATTGTCGATGCTACTGTTTCGCAATAAAATCACATAATTTTCTCATTTACCATATAAACTAATTTGGTAAATTCAGTTGTTATTATAGATAAAATTTAACTGGTTGATTAACTATTAATTTAAAATATACAAATACCTACACACAATTTATATTGATATATTAAATATCAAAATAAAATGTATATAGATATACATCATTGATATAATTATTAGTTTTTGAATATTGGGGGTTTTAAACATAAGTTTTTTGA